CCTCATCTCCGCCTTTGCTCCTTCTGGAGGACTCGGCGTCTTCGGGGAACGCGCGAGCGCAGATTCGAATCTTCCGCTGCCCGAACGCGCTGCTTGAAGAATTCTGCCGGAATTCTTCCCGCCGCTCGCGGGATTTTTGAAAAGGCCGGGCTCGCTTGGAGAAGGAATGGAGAGCGAAAACTTCACATATCTTAGTTTTGCTTTTTTTTGTTTCCTCTAACGGACAGCTCGCGCGCGCAATCACTTAATTCCCTCATCGCGCTAAGACTAAAGAGTGTGTAAGACACGCTACGGTATGCGATTTAGTTGGGTTTGGCTTCCCTTCCTGTCCTGAGTGAATCCTACATTGTGGGGTATAAACAACAATTTAAGGGTGAATATGTTGCGCGTACTCAGATATCTGTGGTATATTCAGTCCTGTATATCCTAGTCAAGCAAATCATGATTTAGCGGCAGCCCAGCTACTGACACTTTTTTTAGTATCTGCTTTACGTAGTTAACCAGGATTGAGTGAAACACGTTTTACTTATCCCAGTTATCTGGGTTCACATTGCTTATTGAACTACAAGCTAACCTCAGACGGTTCACCCAATACACTGCTCTAAAATATGATAAGCTAGTTTGTGGGATAATGTGCCCTGCTATGTGCAATGCGGTATGGCTTAACCTTTCCATTAGAAGAGTAGGAGGGAAGAGAGTACACTCTGCCTCCAATAAACAAAGTGTTTCTAATTAAACCTATCTTGAAGTCTGGCATAAGGCTGCACACCTGCCTTCAGCAACTTGTATTAATTTTGTTTAAGAATATGTCCATTACCATAAACCGGGATTAAACATTTTACTGATTATTGATAGACAAATTAGATAGACTTATTTGACTGGCCCACCATAGGTTTTGGAAGCAGTGAGTGGCCCACGGTCAGGTTTTAGAAATAGCTTGTGGTTGTTTCTGGGGCTCTGATGCACAGTTCAGCTTAGACCTTAGCTGCTGTTTGGAATGAGGGGTAGCAGCTACTTTAGACAGAATCATGGTGCAGACTCTCCCTGCTTGTGGATCCTGGAGAATTCCCTAGTTTTCAGAGGAATTCCGGAAGATGAAGTGGTACAAGGGACACCTAGAGTGCTGTTGAAGAATGAATCCAGTGGAATAGGGGAAAATCCTGTATTAATCTATAAAGCCCTTTATGCCACAGGGCCAGGTTACTTGTAGGACTGCCTATCTCCCATTGTTTCTGCCCATCCCACATCTGACAAGATGGGCACGCTTCCATTTCCCTCAATGAAACAATATCATCTGGTGGGACCCAAGAGGCATGCCTTCTCTGTCACAGCACATACCCATTGGAACAGCATACCTCCCAAGTAGCACTCCTATTCTGTTGGTTTTTTGTAAGGCCTCAAAGACCTAGTGCTTTTCTCAGACTTTGGGCCAGGGTGTTCAATGAGCCCATTATGTAATAGTTGGACATAGGAGTAGTTGGACTTGAAGGACTAGGTTTTGTTGTTTTTATTTTTGTTGGGGTGTTGTTTTTTTTGTCTCAGTTTTAACCCTATGTTAGTTGCCCAGAGCTGCAATCACAAGTTGGGTACCCATAAAAATGGATTATATAAATAAAATTATTAAAATTATGCTGGTATCAAAATATTCATATTTCTACAACTTAAATAGCAAGACCTGATCTATAAAACTATCTCAATTAGCCTCTATTTCATAGGACTGTACAGTGGTTTGGATTTGATTCCAAAACTACATAGACAGGTCAATGAAGTCTTCAGGAATAGAGGTCCATGTGGAGACTTCTGTTTTTAGAGGAGTTGCCATGTGATTCCAGAAAAAGAAGCACCCCTCTGTGTTCCAAACCAATTTTTAGGAATTAAATCTGAAGTACTGTGTTCACAGCCCTAGTCCTTCTGATTCCAGTTAAAAACAATTTATCTCAAAAGACCTTTCAAGCTATTTTTTTCAATAGATCCCAGATGCCTAGGCTGATGCCCATTGAATCAGAAGGATGATTTTCTAAAAGAGAAAAAGTCTCCAAATCAATCTCAACTCCTGGGGACTTCATGATGCAGTTATCTTGGGAAGAATACCGAACAATGGTTTGCCACTGTCTTCTCCCAGGATGTTTTTCCAAACCCTACTTTATTTCTAAGCCCGGAGAGATCAACCAGGTGCCGCCACCTCCTCTACAGTGCTATTCACAAATGCTAATTTTTGCAGTATATACATAATAGTATATAAACAATAGTATAGTCTATGCTCTGTCATGGGCTAAACTACCCTTGTTGATGCTTGAGTACATGTTAATATCCAGAAAGCAGTATGATACTCTTCATAAAGCCCATTTTAATAAACTCCTCTAACAACAAATCTCAGCTTTATGTATTCTTTATCCCAGATTGCTACACATTTAAAACAGGTACCCAAACCTTTTTAGTAGGGCTAAGTAGGCCAAATAAAGGAATAGTTCCAGCATGCAATATGTACTTAGCTATGGTTTTCACAAACCCAATAGATGTCACTTTGAAATGTAAATATGATCTGCAAAAATAATTGCAACAATGGAAAAAATATTTTTTCTATCAAAGATTTTTTCTGAAAATGACAGCATCCTTCAACTTGGATGATCCCGTGAGAAACACTAAGCAAGGACTCCTTTCCAGACAGAACTGAAAATGTGACTAATTCTCCATAGTCCTAAAACTAGAGCACTTTGGTATACTGTCCATATCCATACTGTATTGTGTGACTAACAACACCACATAAATCATACAAAGTTTTAGTTTTAGTTTATTACAATCAAAGATCAGCCAAAAATAATACAATTCTGTACAAAATACAAATTAAATAAACACCATTAGTACAAATTAAAACCCTAACATCTTCTTGTGTAGTAAGCAAGATAGCAACATTTTGCAACCTGAAGTATTATTTCATGGTTTGTATAAGCCAGTAGCAAAGAAACATAAAAGGAAGCAGATCTGCCTGGATAATGTACAAGAATCAACGTGCTAAATCTGCTGTAATATTGGCAGTACTTAGGACATGACCAACTGATTCCATCTCTTCAGATCACGTGGAGAAAGCCGTTCTTAGAAAGGAAGGCCTGTGTATCGGTCCTGTAAACTACTAAGGGTATCACATCAAAACACACTAGTGTGAATGCCCTCCTCAGTTTGGCCTGAGTAACTATATAGGCAGTTTACCAAATTATAGGGATTCTCTAAATTGCCAATGATTAATGACTGTTTTATAAGTCTATCAGTCTGGACAGCAGTGTCCCATAGGTGCTGTTTAACCATTTTCCTTGCTAACCAACTTGGAGAATCAGAAGGATAAACCCAGACTGTTATTTCAATTAGAGGTAGTATGTAATGTATGTAATTTTCGCTAACCAAACCTGAGGCTCCATTGTTACCAATCCCAGTTCTATGCTTAATGCAACATTGTGGGTACCCCTAGGGGCTCCCAAAATAGCATTTAAGAACTGAGTTTGGATTAGTTCCAAAGGATAATAAACTTTGGGGTTGTAGAGTTGCATCCCATATAAGAGCTGGGGATTACTTTTCTCTTAAATACTTTAACAGCTGCTGCAATATAACTACTACCCGTACTAAAGCAAAAGTTAAGGAGCATTGTGCCCTTTTGGGTTTCATGTGCTATATCATGAGATCAGATTGGCCCCAGCCCTATTGGCCTTTTGTAAGGCCTTAAAGATGTGGCTTTGCCACCAGGTTGGGGATCCAGGTGTGCAACAGAGCCTGTACAGAGGTTATGCTAAGTGTTGGCTGTTTTATGCTTTGGCTGTGGATTATGTTATATGATTTTTATAGTTTTATATGGTTTTTACATGTTTTATATTGTATTTTGTATTGCTTTTAATTGTAAGTTGCACAGAGTCCTGTATTTGAGCTGGGCAGCTATACAAACTGAAATCATAAATAAAATAAATAAATATAGGTTAGATGGTATCTCCAAGAGCCATTATATTGAAAGACAATTCCTAAATATTTGTAAAGTTTGGTCTGCTCGAATTGTTGCCCATTAATTGGCCAATTATATTTCTTATAATCACTTTGGAAGAGGTTTTCCTCCTGGCAGAATAGCAAACACCTTCTAAGAGCTCTGTGTAAGCCTATTTCAGTCAAAGAAAGAATCATGCATATAGCAGGGCTGGGATGGGTTTGCAAGGTATCTTTGGGCAATGGAAGTCAGCTTCATGTAAAACTGAAATTAGAGAATTGAATTTTTAAAAAATGGGACCGAAATACAACCTGTCTTATTCTGTGTTGAACTGGTATCTTTTAAGTCAAATGTCCTGAGGACTACATCTTACCTGCATCCAATTCCTATGATAAAGGCTTCTGATAAAAGAGGCAACCCTCTATTGAAGAGGCCTTAAGTTTTTGCCAAATATTATCCTTATTTACAGCATCAAACCCTGACTTAAAATCCACTGATGTGCCATAAAGGGCTCCCTTTGGTCATCTTGTGTGTTTGGCAATCACATACTGTAAAATCAGGCACTAGTCAACTGCAGAATCCTCTAAACCCTGCCTATTCATCTGCAATGATTTCCTCATTATCTAATCAATCCCTGAATTTATCACATAGGTGTCTTGCATAGAGCTTCCCAATTATACTTAGGAGGTTAATGGGTAATAGTTAGCCAAATCAGATTTTGGGCTTTTCTCATAGACTGGAACAATCACAGCCAGATTCCAGTTTTCTGGAAACTGCCTAGAGTAGCTGATAAATGTGAAGAGAGCAGCCAAAATTGGGTCCCACCAGTCAGCGTTATTTTTTACCATTTCTACAGCTCTGCCATTCTTCAACTGTCCTATCAGCCTTTTCGCCTTCTGAGCTGTAACAGGAGGCCATCTTAGGAGCTGAGTAAGGTCTGTTAATAGGACCAAAGGTGTTATAGCTGCAAAATGAGGTAGAAAAAAACAGTTCCCATGTTTTTGCTGGCACATGGAGCCTGATATTGACCTAGATTGCCCTAGACCTGAATTATTATTCAGAAGGTTGCAGTGGCCAAATTTATTCAATATGATCATATAGTCTAAGGTGCTAGAACTGCACCTGGAACAATATGTGGGTTCCCCTAGATGGTCACTCCTTGTGGAACCATTCAAGATTCCCATATCTAACTTACCATTTGGACCAGTCATAGGCCTTTCCAAATGAATTTGGTATCCTTAAAATAACATTTAAGAAGAAACTCATTTCCTATTTCCTCAGGAGGGGCTAAATTATTTGGTGTAAAAAGGTTCAAATAATTTGGCCCCACCCTATCATTAAGGTCTCCTCCTAAAATAGCGCAAGCATTTAGAAACCTCAGTAAGATACCCGGTAAAATCTATATTGTCTGGGATTTAGTTTGATTACTAATGGAGGGCAAGTAGACATTTATAACTACATTAGAGATCTCCCTTAAGTTTAAAAGGCAGGATAGGGCAAAATGTTCACAGGGGAGCAGCTTGTTTATCTTCACATCTATATTTGAAGCGACAAAAGTGGCCAGCCCCCCACTGGATATTCCCCGTCCTGTTCTCCTTTAACGCTGGTATATACAGTAATCACAGGTCATAAATCAATCCATATCTGGTTCAGCAGATAGCCACATATCTTGTACCATCAGAACTTCGAAAGACTTAATATAACTCAATGGGGCAATTACATATGTATTTCTTGGAGAAAAAGTTATAAGAATTATATAAATGTTATTGTTCTGATTTGAAATCAAGCAGTTAATTTGGGTAGACTAGCCATTCCTAAACTGATGCCATCCTGGTGTGATGCACTTTAAGTACCAACAGCCAGAGAGCGGGGACTATGGACGTTGTGGTCCATTGCACCTAGAGGGCACCAGGTTGTGAAAGGCTGTGCGTCTGCAAAAAGGTACTGAGCTGCGAAAAAAAGCAACAGCAGCTCTTTCTCACCCATGATAACACTCAGCAGTTTCTGAATCTAATTGTAATCTATGGGTCTCTTATAAAGCAGAGTGAATTAGCAACATTCACTAAACTGAACTATAATGTTCAATTATCTTCTAATAACAAACCTGTAACAGCTAAGCTGCTGAAGGACACTGTTTTTTTTCTGTAGGCAAATTCTTGTTATATGTGGTGGGTTATCTTCTTCTAGTTCCTGCCCCAGAAATAGTATTTTCTTCATCATACACAGTGTATACACATACACAGCCATGGGAACGCATAGCACTAGGGAGATTCCCCACAATTTCCCATTTATTACTCTCAGGATCATATTTCTCGATGTTCTGCAGGTATGACCCTTTGGAAGAGGAATAGCCTCCCGTTACATAGATGCTTCCATTCACGACGACTGCGCTGCCCTCCATCCTTCTTTCAATCATATCAGCCTTTTGAGTCCACACATTTTGTTCTGGATCATAACAATCTGTGATTGTAGTCTGACCGCCCACAAGATACAGCTTGTTTTCCAGTGCAATGGAACACAATCCATATTCTACAGGACAACAGATGAATTATTAACATATGCCATTACCTTTTGAAGAATTAAAAAAGAAAAGGAGGCCTACCAATTGGCAGAAGTGGAATCTTAATCCAAACATTCTAATATGGTTCTCTATTGATTTCAAGAGTTTGGGATTTAGATTATGATTTGTAGCCATATTTTGCATAACTAAGATAAAGAAGTTTATCTGTTTATCAGAAAAGGGCCTCCTCAGAATTGTATATGAAAGTCATGCATAACTGATGTTATTGCAAAGAAGTTTAAAGATAGTAATTGGTGAGGGTATGGAAAAACAAAACATCAATACAAATACTACAAATTAAAGAAAAAAGAAAATAAAGAACAGAAAAATCAAGTTGGGAATATACATATGTGGTTGTGACAAGAAATTCAGACAATTTAAACATCCATATTTATTTACTGTACTTCTATTTTGCCAAGCTCCAAGGACATGTGGTGATCTACAACATAATAACATAGACAAGTGATAGAAAACGAAAAAAATCACAAAAGTTACCAATTATTATTAAAATGTTAAAATGATCGACCCCATAATTATAGAAATATTATAAGGCATCCCAAATGACCAACTAAAAATTCTTCTAAATAGCTTTTCTGAATACTGAAAAAGAGGGTATCATATGTCTCTTGGTGTCACAGCTGGGAGCACTGGTTTCTAGCAACTCCTGAATACTATGCGAGGGAAGAATCCTCAAAGTACCTACACAGAAGTCATGAACTGAAAAGTATGGCGTGGACAGTCTTCCAGGTTACCAGACCAAAGCCATAGAAGGCTTTATGGGTCAAAACTAACATTCTGAACTGTACTCAGAATTTTTTCAGCATTGCTGTCTGATTTGAGAAGCAACTTTCACACACTAATAGGTGGATGATGGCATAGAAATTTAATAATAAATAAATAAAATAAATTCTGCACCGATGGAAGCTTTTGGGTAGTATCAAGGCAGTCCCATGGAGAACACATTGTAGAAAACTAGACGAGAGATGATGAGGACATGAGTATCTGTCATCATGGCCTTTTCCTCCAGGAAGAGTTGCAACGGGTATACCAGCTGAAGCTGAGCAGATTCCTCTAGCCTCAGAACTTTTGAAAAGCACAAGGGTGTCCCTTTTCTTACACTCAGAATCATTTGCATGTTAGCAAGGAAGGAGATTTTGGGGGTCAATGGAGGACCCCCACAGCTGGGCTACAGACCTTCTTTATGGCCAGGAGATGTTAATTCTTGAAGCCAATCTTTAATATTATTAATTTTAATATTAATTAAATTAATAATAATAATATTAAAGGCATGGGTTTTTGAATGAGAACAAGGTATGAGAGTGGAAGCTAATAATGGTCATGTTCCTAGTACTGTATGTTAGTTTTTTGTACAGGGGCCAAACTGATGTACAATAGTTACAATTCTTTTCATGGAATAAGAAACAAAAGTTTTTTTTAATTGTTTTCCTATTTTAAATGTAAGCCACCAGAGACTTTCTGGTGTCTTTTAAATCTAGTAAGTAAGTAAGTAAATGGAATGAGTAGAAGGGAAAGAATTTTGCATTAGAAAATTGTTTTTGCTCTTCTTCCACGTGGAGACTAGACAGCCATCTGTCCTGGATGCTTTAACTGAGTAGGCCATTGGACTCAATTGCCTAAATGGCCTTTTCTAGTTCTATGACTCACATGTAAATACTTTCAATGGGTGAAAAGAGCCACAGTATTTATTTAAGTTGTTAAGTAGAAGCAAAACTTACCTGGATATGGACTGGTGGTGATTATGTTCCATTCATTAATATCAGAGTGATACTTTTGAATTTTATCATAAGTGCAGCTTCCCCGATAACCATAATGGCCTCCAGTGACATAAATGACTTCATTCAGGACGCAGGCAGTGGCATTTCCAACCCCTATTTAGTAATACTAAATTTGTAAAAGGCTTCTAAAAAGATTCAGCACAATTTCCATCAACTGGCCACTAATAGGATATGTAGAGACAGCTAATAAGATAACTAATTAATACATACACAAATATGTCCATCATGCTATTCCCTTTAGGATAAGCAATATTGTGCAAGTCACAGAAAAGTAGTAAAAAATAGTAAACCAAAGAAATTAAAAACATGAGATAGGAAACGGAAAAAAAACTAACTCTGCTTTATACTGACACCACTCCCCATATTTTTCTCTCCTTGCCAATCAGGCTTACTTCCACCACATCCAAACATACTTTCATACATTGTCTTTTGTTTGTTCTTCTCACCTCTCTCATTTTGAGGATTAACCTTAACTCCACCCAGCCATTACTTTCTTGAATTACTTCCACCACATCCAAACATACTTTCATACATTGTCTTTTGTTTGTTCTTCTCACCTCTCTCATTTTGAGGATTAACCTTAACTCCACCCAGCCATTACTTTCTTGAACTTCCACTTCCTCTCAGTCCATTCATTCTTGGTTTTGTTTTGTGCTTCGATCCTCATTCATTCTTTATACAACTAAACCACTCAGTGCACTTCTGTCATAATGGTCACCTGCTTCCACATTCCATATTCATGCAGCACCTGTTCATTTTTTATTCTACCTGTTCTTAAGTATCCTGTTCCCACTGCATTCAACTTATTTTTATTTTTGTCTAACAACGTGAGCATAAACATGCTTCTACAAAGCTACTTTTGCTTCTTTCAATATTCAGGCTTTGCAACCAACCACTACAGATTCCAGCATCTGCACGCATCTTAAATTTTCCCATCTTCAGTAAACGTTCTATCATGGTATACTAACTCATCTACTTGCTCAAGTTTTTTGCTATTTATATATAATTTGCAATTTCAGTGTCAAAGACAATTTCTTCATTCTTTGCTATATTACTTTTCAGATCCATACTCCTTGTTGCATTACACAATCTACTTAATATTTGCTGCAAATAATTTGAGGTCTCAACCAGCAATGCAGCATGGTCTGCATACCAAAGTACACAAACTTTCGTATCTGTAACCTATACATCTCTAATTTCACCATAAGCATTTCTTATACATTTAACAATACACTAAATAGCCAAGGAGACATCATACATCCTTGTCTTATTTCCTAATTAATGATGAACTGTCCCCTAAGCATTCTGTTTATTCTCATACGTTCTTTACAGGTAGTCCTCACTTAACAACCCTAATTGGGACCCGCAAATCTGTTGCTAAGTGAAGCAGTCATTAACCAAAATATCACATGACCTCCTTGCTTAGCGATGGCAGTTCCAGTAGTCCTGGTTGCGGTCGTTAAGTGAATCACCCACGGTCATCAAGCCAGACATAACATGACCATGTTTTGTGACCTCTTGCCAACTTCCCTATTGACTTTGCTTGTTGCAAGATGACTAGGAAGGTTGCAAACGGTGATCACATGACTGCAGGATGCTGCAATGGTTGTAAGTGTGAGGACCGGTCGTAAGTCACTTTTTTCAGCACTGTCATAACTTTGAACAGTTGCTAAACAAATGGTCATTAAGTGTGGACTACCTACATTTCCATCATATGCTACTCTTACTGCATTTAGCAATTGACTTTAAACTCCATATTTATGCAAGACATTCCACAATTCAAGCCTATTCCCTTTATCATATACTTTATCTAAATCAATAAACATACAATAAATGTCCTTTCTCTCAGTAATACATTTCTTTATAACCCACTGAAGATCAAAAATTTGATCTGCACACCACAGGCATAAAGCTACACTGAATTTCTCATTAATATAAAACTAAAAATTCCAGTTTTTTAAAAAATCTTAATTAAACATATGCAAAGGGCAGCTAGACATATCAGTACAGCTACCCACATGCAATAAACTGTATTTTTACCTGGTTTATATTGAAAATTTTGGATTGTATAACCTGAACACGGTCTGGTTTTATTGTCAAATTTTTCTATCTCTTTAATAGAAGTTTGCAATTTTAATTTTATTTTGCTGATATTGAAGGCAAAACTGCAAATGATTTAATATTCTCACTAACAGAAAGTTATTTTTATGGATTTAAATAATATATCTCTATCATTAAAAACAAGTGTAATAAGAAATTAACTATGAATAACCCTAACAAATGCTGTTTTTATTGAAACACAGTTTAAGGAACAATAATTAGATTATACTGGGTGCAAACATTGTTGTAATAATCATACCCAGTCACAATAATCTTTAAAACATTAATCTACTATTTTTAATTGGTGAAAAACAATGTTTTTATTAGACTTCCTATTATTTATGTCATAGATCTGGATATGGGGGAAATTTATAAGCGTGTGTGCTTTTGAGTAAGTCTTGGCAACCATCTGAACGTGTACCCGCAGTTTTCTTGGCAAGGTTTTTCAGAAGTAGTTTGCCCTTGCCTGCTTCCCAGGGCTGAAAGAGAGGGACTGGCCCAGAGTCACCCAGCTGGCCCCATACCTAAGGCAAGGCTAGAACTCACTGTCTCCTGGTTTCTAGGTAGTGGTGCTTTAACCACTACCCTAAACTGGCTCTCATGGGGGAAATACAATTGATAAAAACAATGACCATTTAAGCACAAAACTACACTAAATGTAACTGATATATGATTAAACATATTATTTAAATAAATAGCAAAAACATATGTAGACAGGCAAATCTTAAGCAAGTGGGATGTGATTAACAAAGGATAGGGAACTGATGTGATAATTGTCTTCATATCCTCTAGAAGGGAGACGATTTCAGAGGCAAAATCTTTAAGGAGGGGAAGATGACTCCCTGGCTCCTTGTATGTTTTGTGGAAGAATTTAAGTAATTTGAATATTAATAAATGTTTTAGCATGGAGTTCCTGAGCATAGTCAGAGTATAAGCTCTTAGAGCTAGTGGAAAGTTTTACTGTTGCATAGCAGAAGTCTGACCCACTAATCTTTGCCTCTGCCTTTTCTCTGTATCCAGTCATATTCTTAAACACCTGTAATTTATTCTTGCTTAATTATAAATACAGACTATGTACTGTCTTTGTATCAGGGTTTTGCCCATGGGATGTTACTCTACATACTGTATCCAGGTGTGCTTGAGCTGGCTTTGCAAACCCATCATAAACTGTTTGTGTCCTGCTTGAGTAAACAAAACAGACCTCATCTTGAGAAGGGAGAGTAAACTTGTAAGTCGAGAAGTTCTCTCTTACAGATTTTTCTCCAACAATATACAAAGACAAAGCAGTGAGCCATCACTTCCTGCTGCCCCCTACAAGAAACACTTTTCTCCCTAGAGCAGGGTTCCTCAACCTTAGCAACTTTAAGACAAGTGGACTTCAACTCCCAGAAAACCCTTCTGGCTTGGGTATTTTTGGGGTTGAAATCCACCCACCTTTAAGATTCCCAGGTTGAGGAACCCTG